TACTACTACTACTACTACTACTACTACTATTACTACTACTACTAAAACTACAACTACAACAACTACTACTACTACTACTACTACTACTACTACTACTACTACTACTACTACTACTACTACTACTACTATTACTACTCCCACTACTACAGAGACCGCGACAGTGTGGGGGTGGAGGACTGCCCGCCTTGGGCGTGTCGGACAAAAGGCTGGGGAAGGAAACGGGTTGTTTGGCAACCTGCTTTGCGCAGCTGGTTTCGGTCGCGCCGCCGACGGTCCAGTACTCGATGCATGGCCGTTTTCGGCGCCAGGGGGCGTTCGGAAAATCAGCAATGTGAGCTGCTGCGCAAATCCCCGCTTGGCCACGCCCCCCTTTCGTCCAGCCCGCCTTGCTCGCGGGCCCGCGAGGCAGCTGGCGCCCCCCCGGTTGCGGCCAAGGCGCAGAAATCGCATCGATTCGACAGAAACAAAGCACGGAAAGTGCAGGGGCGAGCGCCGACAGCAGTTCTTCTTCATGCCGAACAGGTGTCGCCCTGGATCACGGTCCCCTGCCCCTCCGCCAGTCTGTGCTGTCTGTCGCCTCCCCGCTGGCGGCTGGGTGCCGGCGCGAGTCGCGGGCACAGCCGCCGTTAATGTTTAATCTGGCGGGCGCCGCCCCGCGATTCGCCCGTTGAGGGGGACAATGTTGTCAAAATCTTCGCCCCCCCGCAAAAGCTCACATGGGTGCGATTGGTGGTGATGATGATGTGGTGATGATGTTGCCGCTGATGATGGTGATGGTGATGATGAGGTTCATGCCGACGATGATTTGATGGTTATGGTGCGGTCTCAATTTTTCATACTTAATGTTTGAAGGCCATGGTGATGATTAGGATGACGATGATGTTTGCGTGCGTGTGTGTGATGCCGATTATATGATATAACATGACGCATGTCATGTCTGTTTGTCTTTCCCTGTGGACAAGAAAGATATGGCTATTGCGGCGTCTTGTTGATGATATGCAGTGGTCTTCGGCCGCCAGTATGTCGGGCTTGTGGATGGGAAGCGTTTCGGGGTCTCCGGGTGTCTGTTGTGATGCCTCTTTGGATGTGGCTCTGGGGCACTTGAGGGGCCTGTTGGGGTCTTTTTGGGGGGCCTCGTGGGGACCGATGTGGTTCCTTTTAGAGGCATGGGGGCCCGTTGAGGGCCTTCTGGCGGTTGCGGGGATCACCTTGGCATGAAAAGGATTTTGGGGCCAGTCCAGGTTTTTTTTTGGGGGGAATCGCAAGCATTCACACCACATGCACTTGAGCCCGAACAGCGGGAGTCACGGCAGGCACCCAGGGGAACGCGTGCACGCAGATGTTGCAACCCTCGGGTGTTGGGGATATTGTCTCCCTACCAATCGTTGCAATGTTTCTTCAGGCGTATGTGCACCCTTAGGTGGATTTGCCGAAGTGAGGCCCAAATGAGCCGTTTCGGGGGCCAGGTGAGCGCCCAACATTCACGAACCGCGTGAGGGGTGTGCCGAATTGAAATATCCACCAACATAGAAGTGCACATCATCTGTATGCTGACGTTTCCCAGGGCCCTCGAGGCCCACATCGTTGTTTTGTTACATGCCCGATGAGCGTGAGAGCGCAGATCAGTAATGCTGTTACGCGCCACTAACATAGTATGGGACAGGACTCGTGTGACATCATTCGTGTTTGCACTTGCTTCAAGATAGTCTTGGGCAGGAGATGCGTGAGGGGTTTGCCGAATCGAGGTTTGTGCAGCCGTGCAGGCGCAGATCACTTGTATCCTCACGTGCCGCACAAGCTGTCACGCACATGGGCCTACTCTGGGGTGCGCATTTCATTTGTATTTTTGTATGGCCCAAGTTTTGTTTGTGAAGAGTCACGGCAAAGTGGTTTCATCGAAACAGGTCGACACAGATTCGGGCCGGCGGCATGCGCGAAGCCTTTCGTAGCATGCCTGAATACATGCATCTCATGTTCCTCCATCATCTTCCATCTTATCATCTTGTTTTGACGGCTAACACGGCCGACGCCCCCATCGGGCACCCGGGCCAAAGTCGGCGGCGAACTGGCGATGGTTTGCCCTCCCGGCGCGCCTCCGCTGACGCCGCCGCCGCGCGGGGCCCAGGGGCGCGAAGTGGATCGCCCGGCGCAGCAGTCCAACGAGACGCGGCGCGCGCTGCTAGCGGCGCCGTTTTCGCGCGGCCGCGTCCAGGCTCACGGGCTTCCCCGTTCCCGGCCACGCCCTTCGCCGACGCCGCGCGGCGGCCGCGCCTCACTCGCGGCTGCCGCCGACCAGCGAGGCGCCCGCGACGGCACTGATCCCGCCAAGTGCTCCGCTGCCTCGCCTCCTCCAGAGGTGCGGCGCTCTCGGAGACGCCCCGGCCGTTGACTGGATGAGTCACGCGAGGAGATTGTGACGTTCGTGCGCAGCTGGCGTTCACCACCTACCAAACCACCCCAACCCAACCCGAAGGCTCAGATTTACCCTCGATTTCCAGTTGGGGGGGGTCGGGAAACATAGAAAAAACACGTGTGGAACCCTTACCCCCCCCAACCCGAAATTCGGGTCTTCGGGTTGGGTTGGGGTGGTCTGGTAAGTAGTCAGGCGTCATGCGGATTCGGTGCCAGGCCCTCCGTCGCGCGCCGCGCGCCCCGCCTCGCCGCCGCCGCTCGCGCCCCCCTTCGCCAGAGGGCTCTCCTCCGTTGCCGCCCGGCGAGGCCGCCGCCTGCGACGAGTCCAGCGCGGCCCGCGGCTCGAGCTGCTGACCGGCGGGGGCCGCGGCGCCCGTCGGCGCCCAGCGCGCCGCGGCAATGGCGGGCAAGGGCAAGGGCGTGGACGAAGACGAGAGCAATCTCCCGCCGGACCACGCCGCGGACTGCCCCGAGAAGAAGAAGGCCCGCAGGGCTGGGGAGAGGGCCGGGCGTCGGCGCGCCAGCGCGGCCCCCCGCGCGGCTGGCGCCCACGAGCCGCGGCAGCCGCCCTCGCCCATGGGCAGCGCCGAGCACGGCGCGCCTATCGAGGGCGTCGCCCGCGGCGTTTGCGATCGGAGCGCGCCGAGCACGGCGCGCCCGACGGATCGCGAGGCGATCGCGCTAAACTAGCGCGCGCGTCCTTCGTGGTCTATCTCCCTTCGTCGCCTCCTCTACCGCCCACAAGGTCAAGGCACTACACCTCCACTTCGTCACTGACGTCACCCGGGGGCCATCGCCCTGCCTGCGTTTCGCGGCAGGCTTTCGGACCACATGTCTGCGGGCCGAGGCCACCAACATCGCGCAATGCGGCGCAATGTATCAGGAGGGAAAAAAAACACACAGACACAATTAATCTTCGATTCCCAGGAAAATATGGGAAAATATGGGAATTGGGGGGGAAGACAAAAACCCAGAAAATATGGGAAAATATGGGGACTATTTTTATTTGTGTGTATTTATTTGTGTGTCCTAATTTCCCTTTAATGTAGCTCGCGCCATCATCACGTACTTGCAAGCTCCTCCCGTGCCGCTCGTAAGCGCGCACGAGCGAGCGCGCCAGTGCAGTGGATGAGGTTGCGCCCTGGCGCGCGGCCGTCGGGTCAGGCAGCGCCGGCGTCTCCCTGCCGAGTCCCCGCCTTTCCTTTCCTCCTCCTTTCCTTGGTCCCCCTTCTCTGCCTGAGCTCGTCAATCGCCCGCGCAACCCCGGCTCAGCTCGGATAGGTCGCCGCTGTTTGACCCGAGCGTCGACGCGTATCTTTTTTGCGTATGATGAGTACAAGCCCTGCGGTGTACATCGTGTTGCCGCCACGCCTTCATCCGCACAGCTTCCAATCCCCGCAATTACAGTTGCTCCTCCTTTGCTCCTCCCCATCCCCCTCCTTTTCTTATATCACAATTTCTCTCTTGTCGTCCTGTTGTTCCGCCTCGTGTTTCTCCTCCGTCGGTCACCTTTTTCCTCGGGAGGCGCCCCTCTTTATGGCCTTATGCTGTTGCACCGCCGAGGTTTATGCGCGCGCCCCGCCCCGGCCCCCCATCCAAACCGAGAGCGAAGATGTGGGGGGCGCGCGAGGGCTGCAGTCGTTCGTTCGTTCGGCAAGGCAACACGCAGTCATGACTCATGATGACTCATGATATGGGGAGTGGGATGACGACGTCGAGGATGGGGGAGGCGGAGGACGACGCGAGGATAGCGAGGTGATGGACAAGGAGGATGGATGACAAAGGAAAAAGGAGGGGAAGAGGGAGGAGGGGATGATGAGGAGGACGGAGGGAGGTGTTCGTTGAGGTAGGACAAATTCAGATTTTTGCGTTGCAAGTACATGTGACACTGCATACGATCGTCCAAAAAATGTTTGGGGCGCAAACACGCAAACCCACCACGCTGTGTTCTGTGCGCGCGCCTGCCTGCTATGCAGCATCCCCTAGCAATCGTTCGCACGTCGCACTTACAGGCAGGGTCGACACAGGGGTTTGGCGCACGACCGCTGTCAATCAACACCCACCGCAATTGTGAATTTTGCGTGCACGGCCCATTGTCACAGAGAGCTTGGGTTGCCAACCGCAGGGGGCGATCATCCCTTTGAGCCCATATTATTCGAAGGTACGTACATGCAGATATCACACAATACGCGATACAGTTGAGGGAGCAACGCGCTCACAAACACATGTTGCCCTACCACAAGCAACCCTTTTTGCCTTCCCTGCGCCCTTCCCTTCTTTTTTCATCCACCTCCCTTCTTCTTTTGTATTCCTCTCCTTTGGGCTGTTTTTGGCAAAGCTCTCGGTGTCCAGGGTCTGGTACCCCCTGTCGTTTGGGATCTGGACCAGTGGCAATTTGAAGGGCGTCCATTGCGTGCCCCCTTGTCGTCCTCTTCCCGATTGTCTGCCTCATGTACGTGGGGGTCGAGGTGGAGGAGTTTGTCGTGTTTCCCCTCCTTCGCCGCCGTTTTCTTGAGTCTAGGCTGCGAGCCCTAGCCTTTTCGGTAGCGAGCGAGCCACCGGGGAGGAGGTGTTCCCCCGTTGCCGAGGCCATGGCAGCAGGAGAAGGGCCGCCGGAATCGCACGGTGCCGCTGTTGTCCGTCGACTTGGAGGCCGCGAGGCACGCGCCGGCGCCCTGGCGGCAGCAGGTGTGAGGCGCGCGGCCGCGGTGTCGGCATGTGCCGGCGCGTCGTCGTCGCCGGAAGACCCGAGGGCGACGACGCGGGAAGGAGAGGGGAGACCCGAGGGAAGGAGAGGGAAGACCCTGACCGCCGGGCCCCGAAGAAACTTTGAAGCAGAGCCCAGGCGAAACCCACTGAGCGCTAAACGAATATTTGGCGGATAGCGAACACGGCGCCGCTCAGGCGCAGCCGAACACGTTCACCTCATCGAAGACGCCTGCGGCGAATTACCGCCGCTCGTTGCCCATTGCCTTTTTTTTGGAAGCGCCATGTGGGCGAGCGTTGCGGCCAGAGCTCGGCAGAGCTTTCGGACGATGTTTTCCCCCAGCCGTTGTGGAAACTCTTCGGGGAACACGTGGGGGAGAAGTGATGAGGGAGCAAGAATAATGGAGGAGGAGGAGGCCTCCTGGGAGCCTCTTGGGGCCCCCTTGGGGCCTCTTGTGAGCTTCCTCGGGGCTTCTGGGAGGCCTCTTTGGGGCTTCCTTGGACCTCTTGGGGGCCTTTGGAGGTTCCTTGGTTCTTTGGCCGCTTGAGGCTTCCTGGCCCGTCTGACGCCGATGGAAGCCATCTTGGGGGCCTCTCTGAGCGCGGAGAGGTATGTGGTCAAAGCCAGTGGGGCCTTCGGTGGAGCTACGTATACGGGGCCACTGTGCGCCGCACTGGGTGGCGCGGGACGCACGTGGTCACAGCCACTGGGGCTTGCGGAGGAGCTCCCTGTTGGGCCCTGTGGGGGCGCCTCAGGGCGTCTTGGAGGTCTTTTAGGCCGTCTTGGGGTGCTCTTGGGGCCGTCTGGGGGGGCCCGCGGGCCGCCAGGGAGCCACCTCGGGGGCCTCTGAGGCGTCCCCGGGGCCATCCTGGTGGCATCCTGCGCCGTCCTGCCGGGCCGAACAAGCGCGGGGAACAGGGAAAGGGGGGGGTACGAGATCTGCGGCATATGCAGCCGGTTTCGGCCCTGTCGCAAGGCCCATTCCTCGATACATGAGCGCCTCCTGTCGCCAGGATCGGGGGAGCGTAAGACCCGGGTTTGCCGGGACTCGGGTTCGCCATCGTTTTTTGACGACCGCGCCTCGGATTTTGACGAGGAGGAGTTTCGTGGGATGTTTGCGGCGGGAGGCCTCGTCAAAATGCAGGCTCGGCCTCGTCATTTTTTTGACGACCTCGTCGGGGATTTCCCAGTCCCCTGTACCCAGGTCTTACGTCCCCCTGACATTCCTCGATACATGAGCGCCTCCTGTCGCCAGGAGGCGCCAGGAAAACAAAAGCTATGTGAGCTGATTCTCGACCCTACCCTTCGCTATCCTGCCCTGTCGTCCCCCCTGGTCTTCGGGCGTCGTCATGCCCGAAATTGACACTTGGACAATCAATGATGCTGTCCCGACTGGAAGTCCTCTTGGAGGCCTCTTGGGCCGTCTACGGCGATCTTTGGGCCATCCTGCAGGCATCTCGGCCCGTCCTGGGGCCATTGTGTCTTCTCTTTAGGCCATCGTGGCCGTCCTGGAGACAATTTTGGCAGTCTGAGAGGCCCTGTTAGGGCCGTCTGGAGCTGGAAGACCGACGACCTGGGAATTTGAGTCATGGGTCCTCGTGGATGCCATTTTTCTTGTTTATCTTTTCCTTCCGTGTCCTTCCAGGTGGCCGGCGGGATGGGCAGAAGAGCAAGTGTTATTTTTAACCAAGATCAGTAATTACCTAACTTCTGGCACTCCGTACACCCGTGTGGCAAGCCACAAAAGGCGGCGGATCGAAGACGCCTACGGCGAATCACCGCCGCCCCCTGCCTTCAGGATACGCCAATGTGGCCAAACGTTTGGGAAAGCTTTGGATAATCATCCTGGCGAGGGACCCAACCACATGCCCATGTGCAATTGTGCGTACCGCAAGGCAGGTGTGACGAAGGAAGGGCAGCTCCTTATGGGACCACGGGACCTGTGAGGGTATGCCGTCATGGGCGGGGGTGTGCATGTGGACACCGCCGCCAAGGCTTTCCGCGCAGTTCTCTATGGGCAGGCCGCCAACGCTGTACTGGGTGGAGCGGGCGCATGTGATCACAGCCACTGGGGCCTTCGGTGGAGCTCCCTGTAGGGCCACGAAGCGCTGTATTGGGTGGCGCGGGCGCGGGTGATCACAGCCACTGGGGCCTTCGGAGGTCGTCCCTATGGGGCCACGAAGCGCTGTACTTGGTGGCGTGGCGCGGACGCATGTGATCACAGCCGGTGGGGCTTTAGGTGGAGCTTCCTTTGGCGCCACGAAGCGCTGTACTGGGTGGCGCGGACGCATGTGATTACAGGCACTGGGGCCTTCAGTGGAGCTCTTTATGGGGCCACGCAACGAAGTACTGGGTGGCGCGGACGCACGTGATCACAACCACTGGGGCCCTCGGTGGGGATCCCTATGGCGCCACGAAGCGCCGCATTCTCGTGCGCGGACGCATGTGAGCACAGTCGCTGGGGCTTTCGGTGGGGCTTCCCATGGAGCCACGACGCTCTGTACTGGGTGGCGCGGGCGCGATGTATCACAGCCACCCGTGAAACGCATTGAATGCGCGGGCGAATGCAATCGCTGTGTTTTCGGTAGGGCGTCCTGTGGTGCCACGAAGCGGTTTTCTCGTGCGCGGACAACATGTGATCACAGCCACTTGGGCTTTCGGTGGATCTCCTTATGGGGCCACGAAGCGCTGTATTCCTGTTCGCGGACGCGATCGCAGCCAGTGGGGCCTTCGGTGTAGTTCCCTGTGGGACCACGAAACGGTGTATTGTGTGGCGGGGCCGGTTCTGAACAAAGCCACTAGGGCTTTCGAAGGTCTTCCCTATGGGGCCACGACGCGCTACACTTGGTGGCGCGGACGCATGTGATCACAACCGCGGGGGCCTCCGGTGGAGCCCCCTATGTGGCCACGAAGCGTCGTACTGGGTGGCGCGGACGCATTTGATAACAGGTTCTGGGGTTTTTGGTGGACCTCCCTGTGGGGCCACGAAGCGCTGTACTGGGCGGGGCGGACGCATGTGATCACGGCCACTGGGGCCTTCGGTGGAGCTCCTTATGGGGCCACGAAGCGCTGTACTGGGTGTCGCGGACGCATGTGATCACAGCCGGTGGGGCCTTCGGAGGTCTTCCTTATGGGGCTACGAGGCGCTGTACTGGGTGGCGCGGACGACGTATGTGAACACAGCCAGTGGGGCCTTCGGTGGAGCTCCACATGAGGCCACGAAGCGCTGTAGTCGTCGTGGTCGGACGCATGTGATCGCAGCCACTGGGGCCTTTGGTGGAGTTCCCTACGTTACCACGAGGCGCTGAAGTCTCGTGGGCGGCCGCATGTGATCACGGCCATTCGGGCCGTCGGTGGAGCTTCCCATGGGGCCACGACTCACTTTTTTTGTGGGTCTGCCGACATGGGCGGTGGGGCACATGTGAACACCGCCGCCAAGGCCGTCGGTGGAGCTCTCTGGGGGAAGGCCGCGAAGCGCCGCTTGCGCATGTGACCACGGCCGCTGGGGCCTCCGGTGGAGCTCTCTATGGGGCAACGAAGCGTTGTACGTGGTGGCGCGAGCGCATGTGATCACAGCCATTGGGGCCTTCAGGTTCACCACCCACCAAACCACCCCAACCCAACCCGAAGGCCCAAATTTATCCTCGATTTCCAGTGGGGGGGGTCGGGGAACGTTGAAAAAACACATGGTATCCGTACCCCCCCAACCCGAAATTCGGGTCAAATTCGGGTCTTCGGGTTGGGTTGGGGTGGTCTGGTAGGTAGTCACAGGTGGAGCTCCCTATGGGGCCACGAAGCGCTGGCGGCGCGGACGCATGTGAGCACAGTCGCTGGGGCCTTCGGTGGAGATCCCTACGTGGCCACGAAGCGCTGCAGTGAGTGCGGAGGGCAGAGGCTCGGATGGGAGGAGGGCGAGGAGGAAGGAGGAGAGGAGAGGAGGCGGGGCGCTGTCTCATCGAATCGAAGACCCAAAACCACAGGATGGTTGGGAAGGGTCGGACCATGCGTTCCCCGAGACGTTGTGGAAACTCTTCGGAGAACACATGGGGGAAGAAAGAGGAGGAGGAGGAGGAAGAAGATGAGGAGATGGAGGAGGAGGCCTCTTCGGAGCCATTCGGGGCATTGTTGGGGCCTCCTGGGAGCTTCCTGGCGGCCTCTTGGGCGCCCTTTGTCGGCTTCTTGGGAGCCTCTTTGGCCGTCTTAGTGGGTGTTTCCTGGCCCACAAGACGCCGTCGGAAGGCGCCTTGCGGGACTCTGACCCGACTTGGGGCTCTCTCCGGGTGTGTCAGGGCCATCTCTCCGTCTTGGGGTCTTCTTGGGGCCGTCTTGGAGGCCGTTTGGACCACTATGTGGCCATCTTGACCGCCTTGTGGGAGATCTTGGGGCGATGTTGGGGGCCTCTTGGGCAGTCGGAAAGCCGAAATTCAGCAAATGCCAGAATCTTTCAACAACCAGCGGGACATCAATGTATTCTGCCTCCCCGGGCCTTCCTGGAGGCCCTTTTGGAGGCTTCTTGGGCCGTCCTGGAGGCCTCTTGGGGGCCTATTGGGCCGTCATGCCCCTCTTCGGTGCATCTCGGGCCGTCTTGTGTGAATCTTGGGGCCATTACCAGGCATACACGAGCCAGCAACTGCTCCGCTGCCAGCTTCTGCGCTGAACGAACTTCTTCATCAAAATCAACACAGAAAACTAGATTAGGGAGATCAGCACGAACGGCTTGACCAAGAAGACCACCGTGAACAGGTCCAGCGAGCAGGTCGGCACGCACAACTTCCTCAGGGTGTCGTCGTAAGCTGCCCGGAAGCAAGGCACACACGCACACACAGGTCGGCGATTGATTGCCAGTCGAAGTGGTCGTGCTCATCCTTGTCCGTCGTGCTTGTCTGGAATCAGTTGTTTGATTTCGTCTGTTTCGAAGCCGCTGATGTGTTTCGAGTTTCTGTACTCAGGCAGAACGCGGTCGATTACAGCTCGGCGGGTGGCCCTTTTGATTGCTCGAATTTCTCGGCGGATGCGCTTGTTGAGGTGTTTCCGCATTGTCGTCCACGTAGTGG